TATATATATATATATGTGCGTTGCTCGTGGCCTTCATCCTGGGAAGGCATATATCCTGGATGCTCGAATATACAACCATCAACCCCCCTCTCTTCTTCTCTGTTCACTTGAGACGGGCAGAAAAACATTAGTGACCCGGCGGTGTCATCTGGAGGGAAAGAGAACAGGGAATGTTTTAAAAGAGGGAGAAATGTGTGAGGCAGCTTAATGACATAAAGCTGGGTTTCCAATTGTCGGTGCCGTGAAAGCTTTGACTGGAGGATGGAAACAAACAGCTAAGCAGGGAGGTTTAGATTCTGGTCTGTAAACCCAAACTGGTCTTTGGGAGTGTGTTGTAACTGCTATGAGGCACTGTGTTGTAATTGACATGAGGTAAAAAAAAAAAAAAAAACACAACAAACTGATTCCTGTTGCACACAACAGGAATGAAAATCTGCGCATAATTTCTCCAAAACCAGTAAAATGAGTATCTTGGACAACACAGCAACAAGAAACCATCTCTGAGTGTTTTTATGTCAACAACTCTAGACCAGATCATAAAAATTGCTCAGAATCAGTCCACTTGAGACGGCTTGTCATTTCCAGTTTCCCTTTCATACATCATTGTGATGAATGCTGGTGGAGTCCTTTGCGTGCTTGTGCATATGTGTATGGAAGAGTGCTTTCAAGCTGGCCACGGGGTTCTTTGTAATGGGGCTAACCAGATCGTGGTGAGAAATTCCCAGGGCCCATTGAGGACGGCTGAAAGGCGAGAGGAGGTGGAGGGGAGGGGGTGGAGTGGGGGCACCCACCGGGGCTCTTTCACATGATGACATAGTGAAACAGATCTGGCCAGGTCTCCTCGTCGCTGCTCACACCTTTGTGTCTGGACACTCCCTTCCCTGTTTACCTATTCAACAAAACCCACTCAGAGCTTTGGAGAGTCCGCAGCATGTGTAGTGGTTAATCAGTTAGTGTGACTGCAAGGTTTGGTATGAGTGTGTATGAGAGTTCATGGGATGGGCACAACTGACACGTCACATTTGTGAATTTGGGGACTCATCCTCATCCATCTCAAAGATAAAGTAACAGCCCAAAGAACGCAGCAGTGTATACAGCCCCCGCCTGCCAATCCACTGAAGCCACGACCACACATAAACACACTCAAACTGACTAGAGCCGGCGGGAACCAGCCAGTTTACAGTACATGCCACCCATCATTTGGCAAAACCTGCTTGTTTGCCCTGAGCTCTGTAGAGCGACTAAACAAACAGCCTGGCTTATGCCACGTATTACTGTTTCCCTGAGTTTGTCAGTACTAATCACTGTCAGATCAGACTACGAATGTAGGCGGGCTGCAGACAATTTTGAGGTTGATTGCTGCTGATGTGATGTAGGAGGGTGGCCCAGGTAACAAAGCACGCCTCCCCACTCTCCACCTTTTACTCTATGAGGTCACTGCGGGCACCGCTTGTCAACGCTGACATCCCAACAGTTCAACTGGTGCATCGTTTGACAAGTGGTCCTCCATCGTCACTGGAGATGAGCAGTGGAGGAAATCTGGGACGGCTGGATATTTTCATCAAGAGCGTTGTGTTTCATGTGTCAAGAGGTTAAAAGTCTCCCAATCAAACCCTGAAGTATCCTGTGCATGTCTGACCTGCATCACAGACAATCACCCTGTAATTTATAATCAGCAGGCTTTTGTCCACTGGGGTAAAAATAGAAATGGTTATTTTGCAGAGTACGTAGGTTTTACATACTCCCTGGGGAAGATAATCAGGGAGCTCATTAGGTCCTATGACAGCTTGTTATAGAGGGGCTAACCAGGTGTTCCTCCCTCCTACATCCCTCTGGTCAAACTGTGGACTGGATACTTCAGAAGAGACCCATGAGGCTGATGCAGACATTAGACCTCATATGTGGAGAACTGGAGCCATGGGAGATAACCTGCCACGCACAATATATCAGGGTTGTGTCTCTTCTGGTTAAGATGACTGATTCACGAACAGCTTGCATATCAGTGAATAAAAAAAGAAGCTGTAAAAACAAATAATATTGTAAGAATTCAATGATACTGTGGCGTAGCAAAATATCCTGCCACAAATAAGAACATTAGAGTGGACTAATTTGTTAGTGTAATTGAACAGTTCCTGTCACTTTTATCATAATTTCCACTGATACCACCAGGAAATGCTATGAAGTCTACATGCTGTGCTGTTAATTATTAAGCCAAAGCTAACAGTGTTAGCGTGACCTGCACGCCAAACAAAGTGGTCAATCAATCTGCAGAGTCAACTAAGCAGTTTTTAAAAGTTAAAAAACACCACAATTATTGTAGTTAGAAAA